AATTGCAAACGAGTCAGCTTCTACGATAAGGGTTTATATACTTGAGTGAATTTCATCTATCGTGGGATTTGCATAGTCCCTCAATGATTCATGATGATTTTCCAAGTTATTATTTTGCATGTTTTCCATTTTCATTTCTAGTTTTTGAAGTCCTTCCATTTTTTTTTAATTTTTTCCCTTTTTTCTAATTCAGAATTATAAGGCACGAGTTCTGCAGATCCCAGTTATTTTTTTGCATGTTTTCCATTCCCATTTCTAGTTTTTGAAGTCCTTCCATTTTTTTTAATTTTTTTCCCTTTTTTTCTAATTCAGAATTATAAGGCACGAGTTCTGCAGATCCTTTACTTCGCATACGCAACACAACAAATAGCACATTAATAATTAAAGAAATAAAAAAATATATATATTCATCACTATAAAAATTTTTCTCAAACACCATGTTTTTCCACACAAACAGATTTTTCACAATACTTTTTCATACAAAAAACACACTTTTCAGACAAAAATAGTTTTTATGATAATATAGTTTTCCAAGTCTAAGCCTAATTACTTCAACTAAAATTCTCCTAATAGTCAAGATCAACAGTCACCATTGCGAACCCCTGCAATGGCGCTAAAAATTTGATCCTGATATTTTTTATATGTAAAGATTTATGAAGTTGACACCACTACTTGAAGATTTTAATCCCCAGTAATGACACTAAAAACTTGATCCCAAACTTGATCTCAAGTAAACTAAGATTCAATTATATTTGTAGGGATTCTACGCAAGTATTCATATCGTTATGAAGTAATATAGAGCATTTTTATTAAGCCCCGAATATCGATCTCACGGAGATCGAGGTTAATCACGGTGGGTTTTAAGAGAAATTCTAGTCTAGAATAACACGCCCTAGCTTGGAAGGTCGATAAAGATTTGATTTTGATTATATCATACAATTATCACTATAATAATACTTCTACTCCTAAACTAAAATATTTAGTGAAAATCAGAAAGTGAGGTTTAATATATTAAAAGTACTCTTCATCATGCAATGAAATTAGTGGCATGTGCAAAAGTAAAACAAGTGGTGAGAGAGATTGTGACAAAAAGAAGCAATTATATTCTTTACCCTTACTAAAGATGCTATAAAGAACATTGGTTAGTCTAAAGTTTGAATAGTTCTGAAGACGGGCTAGGGAGGGAAGATACTAGTTCTCACTCTAGAGTTTCCTCTTATCCCTCCACCGGGAGGCTAACATCTCGCATCAAAACCTAAAACAATAGACCAAATAAAGGGGTTTTAGCCTGTCACTCTAAAGTCTTCTAATTATATACCCATTAAAGAATATTTTCCTAAGTATTTACACTCAATAATATGGACTACATTCTCACCCATACAATCTCATGTGAAGTAAGATTCAATTATATTTGTAGGGATTCTACGCAAGTATTCATATCGTTATGAAGTAATATAGAGCATTTTGATTAAGCCCCGAATATCGATCTCACGGAGATTGAGGTTAATCACGGTGGCTTTTAAGAGAAATTCTAGTCTAGAATAACACGCCCTAGCTTGGAAGGTCGATAAAGATTTGATTTTGATTATATCCTACAATTATCACTATAGTAATACTTCTAATCCTAAACTAAAATACTTTGTGAAAATCAGAAAGTGGAGTTTAATATATTAAAAGTACTCTTCCTCATGCAATGAAATTAGTGACATGTGTAAAATTAAAAAATGTAGTGAGAGAGATTGTGCCAAAAAGAAGCAATTATATTTTTTACCCTTACTAAAGATGCTATAAAGAACATTGGCTAGTCTAAAGTTTGAATAGTTCTGAAGATGGCTAGGGAGGGAAGATACTAGTTCTCACTCTAGAGTTTCCTCTTATCCCTCCACCTGGAGGCTAACATCTCACATCAAAACCTAAAACAATAGACCAAATTAAGGGGTTTTAGTCTGTCACTCTAAAGTCTTCTAATTATAAACCCATTAAAGATTATTTTCCTAAGTATTTACACTCAATAATATAGACTACATTCTCACCCATATAATCTCGTGTGATTCTACCACAGTTGATTGAGACAACACCATCCCGAATCTTACAAGTTCTCACAACAGATTTTAACAAGCAAGTTGATCAAGTTTACATATAATGAACAATAAAGTAAAATCATCACAATATATTCTCACTCTACTCAATTTTATATCCTACACATGCATACTAATTCATTATAAGAGAAAATAGTAAAGAAAACTACTCACTACTTATGGAGAAACAATAAGAACTTTTCATTGAACAAGACTTTGAAAACATACAAATAAAGTACTAGATTTAAATCAAAATATAATAAAAATATTTATCTTTGATGAAAATTAAACTCTCCTTGTATAGCAAAAGCAATCTCCTTACAATCCTCTTCAAGAACAAAGTGAAAAGAAAACAAGAAATCTCTCACTCTCTCTCTTTCTCTCTCACCTTGCCGCCCCCACTTGGGGCTCACACCCAAGCCTTCTTCCTCTTCTCCAAGCCTTCTTCTCCCACTCTAATTAGTTTCAAGAGTTTTTTAAAGTCATTTTAAGAACATTTCCAAGCCTTTTTTTTATAATTTCCCAAGAGATTCTTAAGTGTCTCTTCAAAACTGTCCATATTCATTGAATCTTCCAAATGGTGTCTGAAGTTCCTCTTTAAAAGTCCTTCTAACCAACCCAAATTCTTCTAGAAAGTCCCTTTTCTCATTTCCAATGAATTCCCTAAGAGATGCATGAAGCAACGCTTCAAAAATCGACCAAATCCTATGTACATTATAGAAGATATGTTGAAAACCGTCTTTGGCGCCTAAGCACCGTTTTTGGGTGCTTAACCGCCCCCCTCTCTGTCTGGTGGCACCTAAG